TAGCCATTTTATCTTTTGTTTTCTGGTCGTTCTGTTTCTCCATTGTTTCTTGTCCCTTGTGTTTCTGTTATTTTAGTTTGGTGGTATACTACAATTTTTTTTCCCGCTGTTTCTTCTTATTTTTATATTATGTGTCTCAGTTTGATTTTTTTTTTGGTGGTTACTATTAGGTTTATGTAAAAGAAATTTTCATATTTTTCTTCTGACTGCATCTTATCTCCATTCACCTGTTGCAAGTTCAGTCCATTACTCCCTCCCCTTTAATGTTTTTTGTTTCTTTTAAAAAATTTAGTTATTTTTTTTCAGGTATAGTTGACATTCAATATTATTTTATATTAGTTTCAGGTATACAACATAGTGGTTCGACATTTATGTAACTTATGCAGTGATCCCAATTAGTCTAGTACCCACCTGGCACTATACATAGTTGTTGCTCTCCTTTTATGTTTTTGTTGTCACAAATTATCCCTTTTTATGCTGAATCAAGTTCATTTTCAACTTGCAGTAGATTGTCTTCTTTTTTTAAAAAAAATGTTTTTACTTCCTTTAATCTTTATGTTATTTTTAAGTGTTTAATACCCTATTCTGAAGAAGGGCTACAATTTCCTGCTTCTGTCTGTCTGTCATCGTGCTCATAGTTTCGTATCCTTTTATCTTTTTGTTCAGGGTAGAGCACCCGTCAGTATTTCCTGTAATGCAGGTCTTGTGGTGGTAAATTCCCTCAGTTTCTGTATGTTTGCAAAACCTTTATTTCTTCTCCATATCTAAAGGATAACTTTGCTGGATCAATTACTGTTGACTGATGATTTCTCTCTTTCAGTAATTTGATTATTTGATTTTACTCTTTCCTAGTTTATACGGTTTCTGCTGAAAAATCCAATGATAATCTAATGGGATTTCTTTTGTACGTTACCATCTTCTTTTCCCTGACTGCCTTGTGAATTCTTTCTTTGTCATAAATTTTTCACAGTTTTAATATAATGTGCCTTGAAGAAGGCCTTTTTGGATTGAGATAATTTGGTACTCTGCTAGCTTCTTAGATTTGAGGATCCAGTTCTTTCCATAGGTTTGGGAAGTTCTCAATTATTTGTTTGAATAGGTTCTCTGTTCCCTTCTCCCTCTCTTCATCTTCTGGCAAACCCATTATTTTTTTTATGAAACACTTCACAAATTTACAAGTCATCCTTGCACAGGGGCCATTTTAATCTTCTCTGTATCATTGCAACTTTAGTGTATGTGCTGACAAAGCAAGCACTACCCATTAGTCTTACATTGTTCTTTCTGATGGAGCTAGTTACTGTACAGTTCTTTCATTTTCTTTTACCCTCCCATCTCTCTCTTCTTCTGAGTCATTTCTAGATTTCTATCTTTGATATCACTAATTCTTTCCTCCATCTGGTCTACTCTATTTCCTAAGCTCACTAGTTCATTCTTCATCTCTTTTATTGCATTGTTCAGCTCCAGAATTTGATTCTTTTTTAGTTTCAATTTCTTTGGTAGAGTACTCCTTTTGTTTGTTGATTTTATTTTTAAATTCATTAAACCGCCTTTCTGAGTTTTCTTGTATCTTGTTGAGTTTTTCCAGAACTACAATCTTGAATTCTATCATTTAAATCATATATTTCTGTCTTTATTTTCTGGAGATATTTCATTTTCTTTCTGAGCTGTCCTGTTACCTTAGTTATTTATGGTTTTGTGGGTTATTTCTTTGCCTAGACATTTATGGGAATGAAATCTGCTTTTTAAAAAACTATTCGATGTTTCACTATTTTAGGAAGTTGATAAATTAGAGGTCTTTCTTTTGTTTTTCAGTAGGTGGCGCTGAAGCACAGGTTTTATTTTCTTTTAACTTGCCCTGCTGGGGCTTCTGGGATCTCTGCGGGGTGGTGTTGCCTTGACAGTGGAAAATGCCTCTCATTTCCTGGGGTGGTGGGCATCCCCTCTGTGACCAGGTCACCTCCGTCTTGGGGTTTCACCCCCTTGGGAAATACGGTGGGCAATGGAGCTCCAAGCCCAGGAGATCCCAGTACTGCCTTCTGCAACTAGATGCTGCCAGCAGTGCTGTGCTATCTGAGGTGTCCCAGGTACACAAGGCTTTGCTGTGATGGATGGGAGTTGAGCGGGCAGAGAGAGGTCAGTTCATGCATTTGTGGCCTTGCTTACTTCCCTGTAATGGCAGCTGCCAGAACTCACCTGCCACACCTTTGGGTTCCATCTCTGCCTCTGTCGCTGGGTTTAGCCAGAATATGTGCTGGCTACTCAGGCAGGAATGTGGATTCTATCCCACTGCTCCTTAGAGCTACACAATATGTATGCTGTAACCCAATTCCTCCCTTGCTTCTCAGTCCTCAGAAGCAGCAGTGAGCCCAGGGTGTATCTATGGCACCGGTCTCAGTCCGTCTTCCTTCCCTTCTTCCTCCTCTGTTCACTTGGATACGCCCACCTTCAGATGTTTCAATTTGAGGATCTCTCAGACATGTTTGTGTGTTGAGCAGGGAATCCTTTGTTGAATTATAGCTGTTCAATTTGTTGTAACTTCAAAGGGAGAAACTTGGAGGATCTCTCACACTGCCATGCTGCTGACATCACCAAAAGATAGATTTTTAAAAACTCAAAACAAATGCACCTCATTCACCAATCTGGATGTAGGACCAAGTCTCTTCTTTGAACACAGGACCACTGATAGAAGTTTCAATATTTTATACATATAAAAGATTTATATAAAAGTTTCAAGATTTTATACACATACAAACACACACACACACACACACACACACACACACACACACACACCCCACATAGTACATTTTTCAATATTTCCAAATTTTGTTTAAGTAGAAACATGGAGCAAGAACTTAAAAATGCTTACAAAGCAATCTGAGTACAGAATTTTCCTAAATTTTTATGTTTGTTGCATTCATACCTAAGTGGAAAGCAATTTCAAAAATTACATTTATTGAATCTTTGCATAGCATTCAACTCATTTTAACCTTTCAATAATAGTTAATTAAATTGTATAACTATAATAAAAAGCTCAATGGGTCATAAACAGTCTAGGAGCTAAACAACTCTTCCAGATAAACACTTATATATGTATGTTTGCTTATTAACTATTCTATACACATATATAATTTTTAAATTTTATTTTGTTTCGAGGAGGAGGCAGCGGTACCTATTATGGGCACTCACTGTTTGAATTAGCTTATTCTTTACTACCCAATTATGCTTTCCAGAGGTATTTTTGATACAATGTGATACAATGTAGAAAACAAGAGATTCCATAAAAATTCGGGAAATAATAAAAAATTAAGTCATTCTGGGAAATAGGAATCTACCTTACCTGCATATTCTGCTAAGAGAAATCATTGATGGGGATCTTGAAGTCACATATGTCATTACTTGAATCAATGATGTCATTGATGTAAGACATTACTCATCACTAAGACAAAATACTGCCATTTATACTACAACACAAATGCTAAAATTTCACTGACTGCACTTAAAATCAGTGAAATATAATGCTCTTGACAAGCACAATTACAATATTTTGAGGAAACACATAAGCTCAGAGCACTGATAACTACTGGTCAAAGGAAGTCATAGAAAACAGTTGTAACCAATATGCTAAAATTCCATGCTTGGTGGAATTTTTAAAGTGGAAATTTCATATAAACAAGTCCTTCAGAGACATGAGGCTACCTTCAAATTAGGATGTAAACTATCTGTTAAATTAACAACTTATTAAAGAGGCAACTAAGTGGCAGTTAATAATATTGATATGTAAGAGAATGTGTAGAATTCTTAATTAAATCCCTACTCTTTTCCTTTTTCTAGATTATATACAGATAGCCCTTCTAGTTTAAATATAGAATAACAGCATTTCTCAAGTAATTACTACAGTCTGTTTACAAACTGATATTTTAGCCATCATTAATTCAGTATCTCCCATGTACTCTAATTTAAAAAGGTTTAATTAAAATTTTTAAATTAAAAATTCTGTCAGGATGTGCAGAGCTGTGTGTGATTCAAGTCTAGGTCAAACTTATTGTCAAACACACCTCCAGCACTGTTACTCAGAAGTCTCTAAGAGTCTACAAGTTTGCTGCATATCTGTCTAGCCTTCAGAAAATTCACCAAAAGTGAAGAGATAAAATCCACACAGATAAAACAGAACTGAACAGTGATCATTAAATGATGTAAAATTTGTAAATTATATATAATCATATATAATAATGATTGTTTTACTTTAAATAGTTGCACTGTACAAAAGGTTTCAGCATAGGTTTCACATATCCGGCTTCTAAATTCACTTAAGATGATCTGTTTGCAGATATTTAGTTTACAGTTTTTCTAGAACACAGTTTTCACATATCTGTTTTATATAGATGAATGAATATTTCACATAAATGAAAATCTATGAATCCATTTGGCTCCTTGAGACACTGGTAATAATAAGTCAATAAGCATTATCTAGCACTTATTCTGTTAGATACTATGCTAAATCCTGGAAGAGAAACAATGAGGCACACAGGTCCTGCTCTAAAAAGGCATCTCTCCAGCAGGGCAGATAAATCAAACAAGTGGAGAATTAAGTAAAAGAGTGTTTTTAATGTTACTGACAACAGGGGAAAAAATAGATATATAAAGATTTTACCAGACTAACTAGTATTCAGATGATACTCGATATATAGAGGCTCAAAATGGAGAGATGGGATCAGGGACAGGAGGGTTAGAGAAAGCTTTGCAGAGCCAAGAATTGTTGCTTGGTTTACAAGGCAAATAAATGTTGAAAGGCAAAACAGAATATATTTATCAGGCCCAAACAAAAGTATAGAGGAAGAGTAAGTATAGGAAAGAGTAAGTGGTTTAATTTGAATTTGAAGAAACATCTGCAAATGGACTAAAAATTTTAAAACCATATTTTTTTTAAAAAAACCCAGCTTACTGGAGTTTCAAATATTACTTGCAAACAAGCACATTCAAATCGTAGTTCAATTTACCTCTTCTTTGGGGCATCTTCTGTAGCTTTTTGAAGACTGCCAATTGTAGCCTCTGAACTTTTAAGTGGTCTTCTGTTGGGCGGCTTTGTGGTTTGTACACTTACTGTGCTTACTTCAACTTTCATGCCCTTAATGATATTTAACAAGTCTTTTTTCGTATTCTCCTTTATACTGTCTTGGTTCTCTGGCTCCTTGGAAATCTCAGGGGTTGGAACGGAGGACTGCCCATCTTTCTTGCAATAGATCACGCTGTTAGTGCCAAAATATCTTTGGATATTACCTTTTGCCCTGGAAAGATTAAAGAAAAAAATGAAAATATAATAAAAAATAATAAAGCAAGGACTCAAAAAAATGTTTCTATGGGTTTAAAAATTTTTTCAATTCATGCCCTTCCCTTTTCCTTTTTTACTGAGGTATAATTGACATATAGTATTGTATTAGTTTCAGGTATACAACATAATGATTACATATTTGTATATATTATGAAATGATCACCACAGTAGGTCTAGTGCTTTTTATTACTAGTGTTAACAACCATAATGACAGCAATTGAGCATTTATTGAACATATACTATGTGCCTAGTTTTATAAAACATATTTTTTGGTAAATTTTCTCATACCTATATCAATTCCACAAGGTAGGTATTATCCCCATTTTGCAAATACGAAAACCTGATTTTCAGGGAAGTGAAGTAACTTACCCAAGGTCATGAAGCTCATAGCTCACTAAGGCCTAAGACACACCGGTATGCCACAAAATGGGTTACAGGTGTGATTAGACATTGATCGCCTAGTCTGTGAGGTGGCCGGGTGAGGCCTGCAACTGCTGGTGCTCCTATCTGCTTGCCCCCTTCCTTTCACCTCAGTGTTTGGTATAACTATCACTTTCCATGTGTTTCATGACATTAAAAAAAGGTTGCGAAACACTGACATCGTTAATAAATTTCAATTTATTATTCTCAAACTCAAATCTGACTACCAAGTCCTTGTTCTTAATATGATATAATACCTTTTTTAAAAGTCATAATTAAACTATGAAAATAAAAAAAAATCTATCTAAAAAAGGTTACTTTCTTTAAGAAAAAAAAAATCTGGGTGTTATTCTAATCTGGCCAACTTTCTCATTGAGCTATGTGCCATTTAACCAATCAGCATTTGTAAGCTAAGCTAAAATGGAATAGAAAGAAGAATATTTTGATATTTGATATTAAAGAACTTTAAAAACTAATGAATGTATTAGTTTCAGTAAGATGGTATAGTGTATAAAAAGTCATTCATTAAATATAGTGAATTGAATATCTACTCTGTGTTGGGCACATTAATGATATATTAGTAAATAAGAATTTTATTGTCTCTATCTTCATGAAGCAAACAGTATAGAGCACTGTTTCCCAAACTTTAAAATGCATAACAATTACCTAGAGGACTTGTTAAAACACAGATTCTTTGGTCCCACCAAGGAGTTGTCATTCAGTCGCTTTGGGGAGGGATTCGGGAGTTGGCATGTCTAACAAGTTCTCAACTAATGCTGATGGTGTCCGTCAGAGGACCACATTTCAATAGCTGCGAGTATGTTATGTACAAGGTGTGATCAAACAATACGGTGAATGTTTAAATAAAAACATTTTATTACAATAAAAGACACATTGCCATTAATCCCCTTCACTTCGAACACACTTATCCTGTTGTTCTTGCCACTTTCTGAAGCAGTTCTGGAAGTCCTCTTTCATGAGTGTATTTAGTTGCGCTGTCATGGCTGCCTCAATGTCCTGAAACGATTCAAAACATTTACCTTTCTTTCATGGTCATTTTGATTTTGGGAAAGAGCTAGAAGTTACATGGTGCCAGATCTGGTGAATAAGGTGGATGGGGACACACCATAATGTTTTTATTTGACAGAAATTGCCATACCAGAAGGGTTATATGACACGGAGCCTTTCTGTTGTGATCACAAAATACAGTGAATGCTGCTGCCAAGTGCCATCCAATGGAAAGGCAGGGATCTTTAACACAGGAAGCGGCGCATCAAACACTAGTAACAGTGTGTGACAAGTTTCAACTTGTTCGGTGCAGTCAGTTGGGTGTAAGCTATGGTTGAGAGAAGGCGTGTTTCAAAGTGTGCAGTAAATCATCCTCCATCATGACAATGCTCCATGTCACACATCGCTTCTGGTATACAGCAATTTCTGTCAAATAAAAACATTACGCTGTGTCCTCATCCACCTTATTCACTGAATCTGGCATCGTGCAACTTCTGGCTCTTCCTCAAAGTCAAAATGATTCAGGACATCGAGGCAGCCAAGATAGCGCAACTAACGACACTCACGAAACAGAACTTCCAGAACTGCTTCAGAAATTGGCAAGAGAAACGGGATAAGTGTGTTTGAAGTGAAGGGGAGTACTTTGAGGGGGATTAATGGCAATGTGTCTTTCACTGTAATAATTTTTTTTTTATTTTAACATTCACCATATTGTTGATCACACCTCATATGTTATTTAAATCCTTACAATCTTATGGGACAGGTTTTGTTTTTCCTGTTTTACTGAAGGAACTGTTGTTTGAAGAGGTTAAGTTAATGGTTTCTAACCTTTCGAGGTCATATGAATCACCTAGGGAGCTTATTTAAAACTTAGATTTCTGATATTCTTAGCTGGTAAGTTTGGAATGGTGTCCAAGGACACATTTAACTAGGTGATTCTGATGCAGTTGATCTCAAGACCCTGTATCAGATCCTGGGTTAAATACTGTATCAAGTTCTCAAAGCTAGCAAATAGTAGTACCAGGTTAGGGGCTCTTTAAAGAAAAAGAAAATGTCTATTTCCAAAAATGCTGAAACAAACTATTTGATCTGCTTATAAAAATGTCAGAGGCTAAAACATCAGGCACTTAAAAATTGGAATAAAAAACCCATTGCATAACTAGTATCCTCATAATCAGTACAAAGGACCCTCATTACTCAACTTACGAAAATGCTCTAATTATTATTTCACATGTGAAAGTTAAATTAAAGGTATAACAGGACTGGCGAGTGGCTCAGTTGGTTAAGAGCTTGCTCAAGAGTGCGAGCTCTGAGCAACAGGGTCGCTGGTTCAATTCTCAGCCCGAGCTGAGCTGCCGCTGAGCTACCAACAGGTGGCAGGATGGCTCAGCTAAAAAAAAAAAAAATTAAAGGTATAACAGAAAGGTGGCAATCAGAAGAATGAATCTCACATATAACCTGTACTTCCACGTTTTCTTCCAAGACTGCTATAGTACCACAAAAAGTATATTTATACCAGGAAAGTCATGCATAGGAAGTAACTCCATAACACCATAATAATAAAACGCTAGCCCTAACCTTCCACCTGAACTTGTTTCCACTGAGAGCATCTCATCGCTTCAAATGCAACACATCTGAAACCACATTCAAGCGCTCCCCTCTCAGACTGACTCCATTTTTCACCCAGCAGTACTGAATGGGCCTCTTACCATAAATAGATATTTTTGTAATCTGAAAACTATGATATATTTGAAAAGCTTTCTCAAAGCTGCTCCTCATTCTTCTGTTAACATTAATGGTACCCTAATCCTTCAAGGCAAACAGCTGAGATCTTTGCTCTGACTGTCCTACCCTTATCTCATCATATGTCGCACCCTATCAATTCTACCTGTGCAATTTTTCTTCTCTATCCAGCTACTTCTTCCCATCGCCACTGCTACCAACCTGCTTCAGTGCTGTACTTACCACAGTGGCCCCAAATCGTACTGTATGGAATATATGCAGTAGAATTAAGTCTTCCTAATCATGCGAGTTCTCAGAGAATAAATACCAACCCCAACTATGCTGCAACGCCTTTTCTTGCCTGGCTAACTCCATCCCTGGGTCCGCCTTCAGATTTTATCAGACTTCTTTTCCAGACAGGGTACCGCAAAACTACAATGGTTAAGTGTCCCTATTTGCTCGCCCAGCAATTACTCGTTAAGTTAACAGAGCATTTTGTGCTGCCTATACTATCTCAGATATTACGCCTCTTGAATTGCCTACTTGGTGTAACTATAAGCTCCGTGATGGCAGGAATGTTATTCGGGGCTTACTTAACACCACTGCTGGCCCTTAACACCCTGTAAGTACTTTCAATAATGAACTAAAGAATAGATGGAGACAGGAATGAGACCATCACAGTCTTAGGAGACAAAAAATAAAAATAAAACTTTGCTTCTGGCGCCTGGATAAAACGAGAGACGAGGAGCGGTGTAGTAAAAAGAGCACAGGGCAGCAGGCCAGGCATGTAAGTTTAGCTCTGTCTCCCACGGACACTGTGACCTTGGGCAAGTCCTTTATTTTTCTGGAATGTCCCTTTCCTCAGATTGAAAGCAATGGCTTCTAACATCGACCCCAGGAAGCCGGAGAATGACAAGTGCATGTACGTACGGGACGGGGTATGGGGATTGCCTGAAGACCTGCGGGGACCAACAGCGCTGAATGAAATGCGGTACCTGACCGTTCCGTGCGGAGCACCGAGAAGCACAATCGCAGCCGCCGACGCCTCCGGGCCTCCAGAGCACAAAGGGAGGCGGGAAAGGGGGCGAAGAGGTAGGATCGCCGAGACTCTTGGAAACATTGCCGAGAAACTAACCGAACGGCGAACCGGAATAGCGTATGACCTGCCAAACACATCCCCCGCCTCTCTCTTCCGTTCCTCAGTCTGTCGCGTCCCTCTCCCTTCGCGCTCCGGTGGACAACAGGAGCCGGTAACTGTGTTCCGGGCTCGCCCGCGGCTCCACCCTCCCCGCGATTCTAATCCCAGAGATGGAGTCGGAGCTGGAATTCCGCGAGGGTGCGCTGGGTGCGGCGGGACAGCTGGGAGAGGGGAGGAAGGGATCAACTGTGCAAACACGGCACATGGGGCCAGTAAGATGAGGCGGAGAACCGACCCTACTGTGTGCGGTGTTTCGGGGAGAAGATCAAAACGTTCAGCATATTGTCAAAATGATCCGTGACCACCAAGGAGGTTAAAAAAATCACCATAGGACATCCTGCCCGATAAATGAGAATTTCTTTTCAGTCTCTGTTCTTGATGTAGAGTAAAAACATGAGACATAAATGTTTTGTTTTCCAGAAGTGGCTTTAAAGATTAAAAAAAAAGATGTAAGAGAAAGATTTGGCTTCTCCCTGTCCCTCATGAAGGCAGTGAACAGTGGCCCAGGAGAGACGAGGGGCTCTCAAATCTGGAATGCACGAGCATAAACCCTGCTAGAAATGTCGGCTGATGCGTCACATGGGAACGTCTAGCCTAGAATTCCGTACTGGTAATTGAATGTTGACGTCAACATTTCCCCTGACGTTTCAAGTCAGAATCAAGATTGGTGGTAAATTTTTTGTGATGCTGAAAACACAGCTTACACTGAGCAGATCTTGCTAAGACCCACTAGTCCAGACAGAACCTTTGTGACAATGCTAAACACAGTACACTCAGGGATGCTTTCCGTTGTCTTTTTTTTTTTCTTAACTGAAGTATAACTTAAATACAGAAAAGTGCATGAATAGTAAATGTTCTTAATGAATTATCACAGAGTTAATTTGGCCATTTAAACCACCACCCAGATCAAGGCATAGAATGTTATCAGCAAGGAATTACTTAGTTGGATATCATTTGCTATCCAGTGGGAAATCCATCTTCAGTATAATAAACAGTCCATGCAAATCACATTTAATAGATACTTCATCATTCTCCAATTTCTTACATATCCCTCAAATGGATTTTTGGAGAAAAAACAAATACTGACAAAGAAGACTGAAACTTCCATCTCAAATTCAGTTTTTCTGTGAAAAGATCCTGTCCCAATTATCCTGATCCTAGTTAACTCTAAGGCAGTGCAGACCCTGTAAATTGCCTACCTGCTGCATGAGGGGGAATAGACTATATGAGTGCCCGCTGAGGGTCACATGTGGGGATTGAAATTCAGTCTTACTCTACTCTCTGGCCCCTTCAACTACCTCTTTCTAAAAGAGGCCTTCTTTGACTAGCTTCATTAAAGTAGCTTCCTGCTGTTGTTCACCAATACCTTTTCTCCTCTTCCTCTAGAGTTTTGGCTGAACACATGGCCACAGCAGTAAAGACTACATTTCCCAGCCTCCCTTGCTGATAGGTATATCTGTGTCTAATGGACAGAATGTGAACTGAAGTGATGTGCCTTTAAAAAAAATGGGCATGCACTCCCTACAACATTTTCTCCTTCTAACTAGTTGGAATACAGGCAAAAATGACAGCAGCTGAAGCAACTAGAGAATGGAGAGATGAAAGATTGCAGAGATGAAGATGACAGAGTCATCCTACCTCTGCCCTCACCACCTCCTCTAGACAGTTACAAAGAAAAAAGGGGGAAAACACTTCCATCTTTTTAAATGTATTTTTGAGTTTCTTTGTTACAAGCAGCCTATATTGTATCTTAACTAAGGTACTATGTCAAAACCAAGAAGAGGTTTCATTTTCTACAGGATATCACTATCTGAAATTATCTCATACATTTATGTGCTTAAATACTTGTTATCTTGCTCTGTGTTCCATAAAGGAGTGGATTTTGTCTTATTCACTGCTTCAACCCTGGTTCCTAGAACTGTGTCTGCCACATATTAGATGCTCAAAAATATTTGGTGAATAAATTAATTATTTCTAAGTATACTTGACTTTAATCATGCATAAAAGTCACATGAGGATGCTTGCTAATACTACACATTACTGAGTAGCTCAGATACTGACTCAGTAAGTACGAATCTGAGAGTCTAATAAGCATCCCAGGTGATTCCAATGCAGGTGGTCCTCAGACAAAACTTCAAGAAATTCTGCAATGATCCTGTGACTTACTTAGTTATTCATAGCTCTGCATACCCTTAGAATACATAGCAAAGAAAAAGTGAAAAGTATTAAAACTATTGGTGAGTCTCAAAGGCATTATGTTAAGTGAAAGGAGCCAGACCCAAAAGACCATATACTGTGTGATTCCACTTATATGACATTGTAAAGAAGACAAAGCTATAGGACAGAAATCAGACCAGTGGTTACCAGGAGGTGGGGATGGAAGGAGGTGACTGAGTATGAAGGAATATGAGGAAACCTTTTGGGGTTATTGAAATACTCTATATCTAGACTCTAGTGGGGTTATGGCCTTTCATGCTTATCAAAACCCACAGAACTGTACACCTAAACAGTGTGAATTTTACTGTATATGGATGATATCTCAATAAACCTGACTTTAACAATAATTAATTGTAAGATAATTAATGAGTAATTCTAATTGGCCACAAATTAAACCACAAGAGAACAATACATTCTTAAAAAAATAAACATGCTCTTTGAAAAAACAATAACTTATGCAATCGTCCAGAGTAATCATTTATGAGAGCAACAAAAATGTAGCCTGAAAGTAGAAAAACTTTTCCCTCATCCTTCTCTTCCAGCATTAATTCTCCAGTCATTTTCTTCTCAGTGCCCCACTGAAATTCACTTTCTAGAACAATGTATCTTTGGCAAGAGGCAGCAAATCAAATGAAATAAGTCCTGATATATGTCAGTGACTTTGTCCTAAATGTCTTATGAAATTCTACACTAATTAACTTGGCAAGCCTTCCATGAAAATGAAAAAAACAAAATCACTCTACATCTCAGTAATCAACTACTGCATAACAGACCATTCCAAAACTTAGTGGCTTAAAACAATAGTATATTACCTCGCATGTCTCTGTGGTTAACTGGGCTCAGCTGGGTGGTTCCTGCCTAGGGTCTTTAAAACGAGGTTGCAGTCAGATAGCAGTTAGTCTGGACTGGATGTCCAAGATGATTTTTTCACTCACATGGCTGATGGCTCAACTGGAATGCCTAAAAGAAAAACGGTCTCTCTCTCTCTCTCTCTCTCTCTCTCTCTCTCTCTCTCTCTCTCTCTCT